GGGGGGAAGATGGCAGACCACAATCTTCCAGTGAGGGCAACAAAAGGAAGAATTTACAGCGCCTAGCAGTGTCACGGAGCAGAGACATGTGTCCCTTCTGCTGTTGTGTGGACAGTGTCCCCCACCCCCAGCCCCCACATTAGCGCAACAGTTTGTCCAGAGCTGACTAGAAATATGGCAGACCAGACGACTGCTGAGCACCTCCCAATATAAACATATAAACGCTGATACTGACAGTATTTTACGACACTTCCGGGAGAGCAGCCCTGTAATTGTGCAGGATGGAACAGTTTAGGGGAGCAGAGATCCCCCTCATTACCGGCAGAGAATGCAATTAACCCCCCTTTGCTAAAAATAGCAGCTGCAGCACTGCGCTGAGAGGGACTTATCTTTACGCAGGAGCCGCTTATCCAGGGCAGCTTAGCCAGCTGAGGAGCCCTCAGCTGAAGGGACAGCGAATTGCGGCCTGCCGTCCTCAACTGCTGTCGTTACATTTTTATTTTTTTTTTCCTAGAACGGCCGCAGTAAGACAGAGTGACTGCTGCCCTCCCTGCAGGATGTAACAGGAGCAGGACGACGTAATAAGCTGCTACTGGTGCTCTCTGCCGGGCTGCGTTTCCAAACAGCCCCCCGCCTTAAAAAAGCCACAAACACGTGTGGATCCCATACCACATATAGCTCCTGTTATTCTCAGGCGAATCAAAAATCACTGCTATTTTTGGGAGACAGACACAGACAGACAGATGGGGATAAATAAAGTCTAAGGTGCAATTAAGCAAATTTGTTTTTAATACCGTTTAATAGCAACTGATAGAAATAAACTACCCGCTATAGCTGTTTGTTCTGTTCAGCGAAAAGGTTACAAAAAAAAAGTGCAGACAATAGATTTGCTGTGGCCAGTTTCTGCCGTGGCATGGTGTCTTGCAGTAGACTCCTGCTGTGCCCAGTTTCTGCCGTGGCATGGTGTCTTGCAGCAGACTCCTACTGTGGGCGGTTTGCTTGCAGTGACACATTCCTCTCATGTTCGGGGGGCTACTGATGCACCATGAAGACGTAAACGTGCGATAAGAGCAGGTTTTTGGTCTCCTGGCAACTAAACCACCACCTGGCAACCATGGAGACGCAATCTCGCACCTTTAGGGGGGGCCGGCACGCATTGAGGGGGGGCCCGCGCACATTGAAGGATCAGAGACGACCAGGAAGGAGGAGGGAAAGGTGCGCTCAAGCTCAGGAATCTGTTTACCCACAACCTCGGGCTCCGTCTCCGCTTCACAACACCTGCAATGGAAAATAGCTCAGCTCACTGCAAGCCTATTTGCAAGATGGATTAAAATCCTTAATAGGTCCCAACAGGTCACACTTGGCTCAAAATACCTTCTGCCGCTGGCCATTGACACACTTGTTCTAATAATACACTACATCTGAGAAGCAGCGTGCAGACACGTCGGGCAGGAGAATACAGACAGAGACAGACAGAGAGGGAGACAGACGGACAGAGAGAGAGAGAGACAGACAGAGATGGACAGTCAGAAAGCGAGAGAGAGAGGGAGACAGACGGACAGAGAGGGGGAGGGAGACAGACGGTCAGAGAGAGAGACAGACGGACAGAGAGGGGGAGGGAGACAGACGGTCAGAGAGAGACAGACAGAGAGGGACAGTCAGAAAGCGAGAGAGAGAGTGAGATGGACAGAGAGACAGATGGACAGAGAGGGAGACAGACGGACAGAGAGGGGGAGGGAGAGCTGGACGGTCAGAGAGAGAGACAGATAGATGGACAGAGCGGGAGAGAGACGGTCAGAGAGAGAGAGAGAGAGACAGACAGAGATGGACAGAGCGGGAGAGGGAGAGAGAGAGACGTTAGAGAGAGAGACAGAGATGGACAGAGACAAAGCAGGATGATTGAGGTGAAAGGCTCCGATGCAAAAGCACAACTAGGTAAAATGCTGGGTCAGGCGCCCTGAGCATGGATTGCGTTATTGACTAGGGTGACAAACTAAACCTCACAATACAGGTGCAGCACATACCCTGCACATTTACGGGAAACTGCTAATGCACACTGTACGAAGGTGCGAAGGTGGTTACTCTGTGCTATCAGGCCGCGATCGCCCTCCAGTGAGCCCCACCCCTTCAGACCCTGCATGCAATCTGGCAGAGGAACGGGCCATTCGGCTTGGGCTGGTGGCAGAATCGCTAGCTGAGCTATGACCCAGTTTGCAGAGAGGCCAGGTGACGGCAGAGAGGCCAGGTGACGGCAGCGAGCCTCTCTACAGATCCACATTTCGTCTCCGTGTGGATAGAGGCCTCTGTGGGCCGGAGGCTGGGCTCAGGACCACAAGGGACACCAGAGCTGAGGCCTCTCCCAGACCGTCACCCCTCAAGCTGAGCGCCAGCTGCTCCCAATGCCTCCAGTTCATCCTGTAGCCTGAACTCCCAGTCACCCTGTGAGCCCTCTTCATAATAACCCCCCCGCACCCTTTAGTGACACACAATCAGGTCCCCACTAAAAAGGGAGCATTTCAGACCCCTGCACGTGTTAACACATGTGAACGCAATATGAAGTTTCATGAATCGTCCTGAATTCACACTGACAAAGCAATCCTGCACCTTCCTGGCCCACGATTTAATACGATTATCAGACATTCTCAAGGTTATCAGTTACACTGTGAGGGCAGGGGGGGGGGGGGGGGGCAACGGGGACTCATCCCTGCCAGCCAGAGTCACAAAGCAAAGGCAATGAGCACCACTGGCATTCACACAGTCTGCTAACGCACAACCAAGATTATCAGCTGAGCTCAAACAAATGGCAGATACCCCCGAGTAGTTGGTGCTGAGGAGGGGGGGGGGTGTTTTTGGTAATTGAAGGAACAGAGGAATGCAAGGCAGCCGTCTGTCACAGACGCGATAAAACACAGACGAGATAAAAACAGGTTGGTAACACTGAGCCCTTCCACCGCTACTGCCGTGTGTCATGGTTCAGTGCCAGCGACACATCACCTTACAGCCTGACCCCCAGCGACACATCACCTTACAGCCGGACCCCCAGCAACACATCACCTTACAGCCTGACCCCCAGCGACACATCACCTTACAGCCTGACCCCCAGCAACACATCACCTTACAGCCTGACCCCCAGCAACACATCACCTTACAGCCTGACCCCGACCAGCAGGCTTCCTCAGTCACCCTCCCCTTCCAGATCTCCAAAGTACTAGATCTTGATAAAATAATAATAATAAGAGAACAGATTTTCTGAAAATCTTGCCTTGGATTCCCACACCCCAACACCATGAGGGCCAAAGCCATAGATACTCACGCATATGAGGCGACGGCCCCTCAAGGTATCCTCTGGCTACCCAGCCCGCCCTCCCTGGCACGGCGTGCTCTGCTGCGAGGTCTCCGCTCCGATGGTGCAGCTCGCTCGCTGTCACCAACTGTGGCAGCACTCCAACTCAGTAACCATTACCGGTCACAAAAACCACCGTCTCCCTCCGGTCTATGTTACGCCAGTGCTGTGACAGCATGCATAGCGCTAACGGCTAAATGCTATATC